TCTGTTGACAGGGACTGTCCACACCCCAGCCCTGGTGGTTTCCTACCTGAACTATCTGGCTAGGAATTGCCAACTTTCCTTCTGGAGCTGAGCATAGCATATCAGAAGATTCAAGCTGAGATCTTCCCTTCTGGATTTTCTTTTCTTCCTTGATGCCCTCATAATGTTGCTAATGTCAATGAGAAATCCAGCTATCCTTAAGCCAGAGGCAAAGCAGAGATGTCATATACCACATTCTCCTACCTACTGACTCTCACTCTCCCAGTCCCTAAATAGAAGATTCCAGGCTTTCTTTTGGGGATTAGTCCAACATCCTACAGCCCAAGCTGCACTGAAGTCATTGGCAAAAAACAAGCCTTCAGGAATCGCTGGAATACCAATTGAGATGTTTCAACAAATGAGTGCAACACTGAAAGCACTCACTTGTTTATGCCAAGAAATTTGGAAGACAGCTATCTGGCCAACCGACTGGAAGAGATCCATATTTGTGCCCATTCCAAAGAAAGATGATCCAATAGAATGTGGAAATTATTGAACAATATCATTAATATCATAGGCAAGTACAATTTTGTTTAAGATCATTAAAAAATGATTGCACTAGTACATCGACAGGGAACTGCAAGAAGGTTAAGCCAGACAGAGAAGAGGATGTGGAATGAGGGATATCATTGCTGATGTCAGCTGGATCTTGGCTGAAAGCAGAGAATATTAGAAAGATGTTTATCTGTGTTTTATTGACTATGCAAAAGCATGTGACTATGTAGATCCTAACAAATTATGGATAACATTTCAAAGAATGGGAATTCCTTAACACTTAATTGTGCTCATGCAGAACCTGTACATAGACCAAGAGGCAGTCGTTTGAACAGAACAAGGGGATACTGAGTGGTTTAAAATCAGGAAATGTGTGTGTCAGGGTTGTATCCTTTCACCATACTTATTTAATCTGTATGCGGAGCAAATAATCGAGAAGTCAGACTATATGAGGAAAAACGCAGCATCAGGATTGGAGGAAGACTCATTAACAACCCGTGATATGCAAATGACACAACCTTGCTTGCTGCAAGCTAAGAGGACTTGAAACACTTGCTGATGAAGATCAAAGACGACAGCCTTGAGTATAGATTACACCTCAACATAAAGAAAACAAAAATCCTCACAACTGTAACAATAAGCAACATCATGATAAATGGAGAATGTATTGATGTAGTCAAGGATTTCATTTTACTTGGATCCACAATCAACGCCCATGGAAGCAGCAGTCAAGAAGCCAAACAATGTATTGCATTGGGCCAATCTGCTGCAAAATACCTCTTTAAAGTGTTAAAAATCAAAGATGTCCCTTTGAGGAATAAGGTGTGCCTGACCCAAGCCATAGTAATTTCAATGGCCTCATATGCATGCAAAAGCTGGACAATAAATAAGGAAGACAGAAGAAGAATTGATGCATTTGAAATACGGTGTTGGTGAAGAATATTGGATATACCATGGACTGCCAGAAGAACAAACAAATCTGTCTTGGAAGAAGTACAGCCAGAATGCCTCTTAGAAGTGAGGATGGTGAGACTTCGTCTCACATACTTTGGACATGTTATCTGGAGGGACCAATCCCTGGAGAAGGACATCATGCTGGGTAAAGTAGAGGGTCATCGAAAAAGAGGAAGATCCTCAAAGAGATGGATTGACACAGTGGCTGCAACAATGGGCTCAAACATAACAACGGTTGTGAGGATGGCACAGGACCGGACATTTCATTCTGTTGTACGTAGGGTCACTATGAGTAGGAAGTGACTTGATGTTGCCCAACAACCACAACAACAGCTGAAAGGCTCTCTCTATCTATGCAAAGTAAGGTGGAGACTTGCAACATTTATCAGAGCCTGGGTCCCTGAGTGATTTCGTGGAGGAAGCTGCCCTGCTGGCCAGTTTACTTTCTCAATATTGTTACTTGAGCAAGGAATAAACTTTTACTGTTTTTGAGCCATTCAGTGATGTAGGGCTGGGGGGTGGGGGTGGAGAGCAATGGGGCTGGTCTGCCTTGGGTGTAGGCCTTAATAGATGTGTTTTTTGTAGAGAATTTAAAAACAAAAATAAAACAAACTAAAAAAAATCAGTCTACTTTTTATTACCACTGTGCACCAGCAATCGTACACAAAGTCAATGATAAAATACTATTCCTTGTCAGGGCAGACTGCTCTCCACCTTCCCACTCCCTGTCCTTCATATACCTTGGTTCATTCCAGGAGCCGTTATGCAATTTGAGGTATGTATCTGAGCCCTGGTGGCACAGTAGTTAAGAGCTCGGCTGCTAACCAAAAAGGTTGGTGATTCGAATCCACCAACCACCCCTTGGAAACCCTATGGAGCAGTTCTACTGTGTCCTATAGGGTCATTATGAGTCTGAATGGACTCGACAGCAATGGGTTTGGTTTGGTTTTATGTATGTATGTATTTATTTATAGCACTTAGCCTTGTTTATAGTACAGGAGTATACACAGTAATCCTGGAAGTTCTGACTGCCCAGCACAAAGCCCCGTCTGCGGAAAGCGGTCCCAGGCAATTGTCTGTGCTTAAAGTTGCCATGGTGTAGTGGTTAAGTGTTAAGCTGCTAACTGAAAGGTTGGCAGTTTGAACCCACCCAGTGGTTCATCAGGAGAAAGACCTGGCAATCTGTTTCAGTAAAGATTATAGCCCAAGACACCCTATGGGACAGTTTTATTCTAACCCATGGGATCACTATGAGTCAGAATCCATGATGGCACCCAACAATTAACAAAGTTGCTGTGCTTGTTACGATATGACCTGTGGGGATATATGCCATTTAAACATGGCTGCACTATTGACAACTGCAGCCCCCACAGGCCTCTATGCTGCACAGCATGTTGAGACCTGGCTCCAACATGTCGAGACTTGTCCGGATGTGTTTTCCCAAACCTATTGTCCCTTTACTGATTAACTTGTTTACCTGAATTCCTTCTCCCTTGCCCACTCCCCAAGCCCATTGTTATGTTAATTGCTTTATCGCTTGCTGTATTGACTATAAAATAAACTCCTGGGACTGAAGTGGGGGTCGACTCCTCAGAGTGACCCTCCTGGCCCCACTTCTCTGTAAGAGTTGTGTAGTTGGTTACTGTCTTCGCCGTCCCGATTACCGTCTCCGCTGCGACAATGACCCTAGTGGTTTCCACAGGAATTCAGCTTCTAGGGTATCTCCCTAGCCCACGCCTTGCTAACTCGGGCACAACTTTGTCCCCCAGATGCAGAAACAAGGCCTCCTCTCAGACCAGTGCTCACCAGGGCCGGGCTGGGACCTGCTCCCTCTGGATCCATTCCTATACCCACACACAGAATATGAGTCTGTCCTCATTGTCTTTCTGCAGTGAAGTACGTGTGTGTGCGCGCGCGCGCGCTGGTATGAAAGACACCAGAAAGACCCACCATTGTCTACTGTTCCATTTGGCTCTTTTTTTGTCCCCTCTCCCATCCCTGGTCTATATCTCTGAGAGGGAGTTCCAGAAGGTTATTTCCCACTTTTGTCTTCAAGTACAGAGATACTTTGTAATGAGGGCTTTACCCAAGGGCCTGGGGGGTTTGGTAGTTTGGCATAATTACAGTTGGGTCTGCCATTGGCACTAAATAAAAAAGGCAGGTGCTTACCCGTTCAATCCCATTTGTACCCTGTACTTTCTGGGTGGGAAATGGAGGCATCCTGTAAGATGGGGGTTGGGTGCAGGATGACTCACTGACCAGGCCCCCAGAGGCTGAGGTGAGCAACCCCTGACCGAGGGCCTTGGTTTTGTGCAGCATCTGGAACACCAGGCAATTTCTCTGGAAATGAGGCTTGGCATCCCTCTGCCAAATCTTACCATCCTCCAGGACCTGCTTAGGCCCCTCTTAGGCTGACCCTCCAGCCTGCTGTCAGTGTCGCTCCTCAGAAAGCCAATAGCACTCCACCATGCCCTTTACCTGTGTTCATCTTTGCATCCCTTGCTATGGATCTTTCCTGTCTCTGTCTGGTCCCCCCGGTGAATCACAGGTTCCTCAAGGGTCAGTTCTCTCCAACAGCTTTATTCCCCTTAGCACCTGGATTGGAGCCTTGCTTCTGGTGGGCCCTCAGCCCTCGCCTGTTGAATGAAGGCCTTGCTTAGTGACTTGCCTGGGCCTCCACCAGGGCAGCTGTCTGAGGGCAGCCACAGGGCTTGACACATAGTGGAGGATCAATAAATACTCGTGGACTAGACAGAAGAAGCTCTCCAGATATCAGCTATCCCCCCAGTGTCAGTCTATTTAGTTTACCCAGTGCTTCCTGAGGGCCTAATATGTGCTAATTGCCATGAAGGTTACAAAGGTGCAGAAGACATTATTTCTGCCTTCGGGGGGTAATATAAGTACCAACAGTCATGCTATAGACAGAATGTAGTTAAGAGCAATAGTAAGGAAAGACTTAAAGAGGTGCCCTCTACATGTGCTCAACCTAGGAGGATGGGCCAGGTGTCCCTGCAGCCTTAGTGGGACATGTGTGGTCAACCTGGGAGGATGGGTTGGGTGACCCTGCAGCTGTAGGTGGAAACATGTGCTCACCCTGGGAGGACGCGCCAGGTAGAACCTTAGTGGGACATAGGACCCTGGAGTCTCAGGACTGTGCTCACCCAAGCCTCCACTTTCCTATATGAGATAATGATCCCTAATCTACTGCCAGGGCTGGAGGTGAATTACAGGTTTAACAGATATGTCCAGGCCTGTGGGATTGAAAAGGCAGGGGGCAGGTTTACTGTGATGCAGGGTCTCCTTGATATGCCTATTAAGAGAGGCAAGTTTCAGCTTTCCTCTGTCTGCCTAGCTGGAGATTCGCATGCTCATAAATGGCATTAACAACTTTCTCCTGCCTTTTATGTTGTCTGGATACCTGTCCTCTGCCCGATAAAAGACAGGAGCCTTAACTGCTCAGGTGAGTCCTCGTATCCTCTCAGGCCATTTCCTTTCCCTGAAACATTCTGCAGAGCAGAGGCATGGCCAGCTGTTCTTACCGCATCAGCTCTGGCTGCGGCACCCAGAACTTCAGCTCCCGCTCCGCCATCCTGCCCAAGCCTGGGGCTCACAGCTGTGTCAGTGCCATTGCTTACCGTGGGGGCAGTCCTAGGGGCCCAGGCTACAGGAGCCTCAGTGGCTTTGGCAGCAGGAGCCTGTGTGCAGTGGGGTCTCCCCAGATTGTGATGGGCTATGGATGGCCTCTGCGAAGTGGGGGCAGCTTTGGCTACCAGGCAGGGGGCCTTTGTGGGCCCAGCCCTCCCTGTATCACCACCGTGACGGTCAACGAGAGCCTATTCAAGCCCCCAACCTGGAGTTTGACCCCAATGCTTAGTGTGTGAAGCATGAGGAGAAGGAGCAGATAAAATGTCTCAACAACAAGTTTGCTGCCTTCATCGACAAGGTGGGTCTGGGTGTTGTTCCCTGGTGCTGTGGCATAGGAAGGGGCACGGGATTTGGGGCCCAATAACTGGCTGGTTTCAAATAATCAAAGTGACAACTCGGCTGAATCAGGGTCTCAGTTTTCAAACGTTGCCGTGAGAGACAACTGAAACCACCGTACAGAACAGGAGGGTTTATTGCTGCTACTTCTACTGCCCAGTAAGAGCTGAATGTGTGTTTGTGGCTCCAAACACACACGTCCTCCATCTTTCAGATATGGGTCATATACAGTAAGACTGGGGTGGGATGGGCATCTCTGCTTAGGCTGATGTCTGATCTCCTTATTAGAGGAGATGCTGTCCCTCCCGGCATGGAGAGGGGAGCCAGGGCCACGAGGGACCAGAGGTTCCTTTCCTGCTCCTTTTGGTGGGAACGTCATAGGAAGGCTGTGAATTCTCAGGGCTCCTGCCCAAGACACCAACCTGTCAACACTTACATAGACTGAAGACAGGCAGTTGAGAAACTTAAGCGATGGTCCATGGAGAGGCTATTTATTTACACTTTTCTGATGTTGCAGTTTCTGAGCTCTTTTTCTGGTTGAGTATCTAACTTTGGTTTCCTTTGATGTAATGATGTCCAGTCTGAGAGCTCACAATCTGACCTTTGGGAGGGGACAGCCACTGAAGTTCAAGGAGGGAAAGGCTCATCTTTGAGGGCTGAATGGTGTACATGTCTATACCCAGGAGCGAGTAAGAAGGCATGCACCAGGGTGCTGTTGGGTGGGAGTTCTGCTCTCAGACAAACACCACCATCAGAAATATGCCTGTCAACGACCAGAGGTGCTGTGCCTCCATTCTTAACATGTGACTGACTGTCTAAGCCACTGTTCCCTTCCATCAGCACAACACAGCTGGCCGTCAAGTCATGAAGGTTGTTCCTCTCACAAGGACACCCAGCCTAGAGGGTAGGGATGGAGAGGTTGAAATCCAGCCCATGCTCTGCTCACCAGGCTGGGTGCCCTAGAAGGGGGCTGCATCTGCCTGGAAAGGGGACCTTTTCCTAATTTATTCAAAAGCACAGTCAGGGTTCTGAGCATGCACCCTTGAGGGGTCTTTGTATGCTGCTCCCTCTGTTGTGAGTGGTCAGCTCGAGTCTGGGGAAAGAGACTCACATCACTGCCCCAGGCCAGCTTTCCCTTTCCCCTGGGGCTACTGACAGCCAGCCATCTCCTCCAGGGTCCTTCCTTCAGGACAAACTCCAGGTCTACAAACCACGTTGATGTGGTGGTCCAAAGCCTGCAGAGCAGGCAAGCCAAACGGGGCCCTACCCATGGGCCTGCATGTTGAAGCTAAAGGCAGATGCTTTGGATCATCAGGGTTTGGGCTCCTTTTTCCACCAGCACAGGCCATTAAGAGTTGCTTTGTACCAGGCTTGTACTCCCAGGAGGTTAAGGCTTGAGAGGAAATCACTTAGTTTAGGGCTGGGTAACTTCAAATTTCCATGGGGTCCAGGCAGGTCATATGTAGGAGGACAGGCTGCAGAGGGCAGACCTGCAGAGAGGGATAGCTGCTCCTATTCACCTCCAGACACCTGCCTGGCCTTGCCAGAGCTTCTGGTTTGTCAAGAAGGCCATTATAGTAGTTTCTTAGTAGTGCTATAGCAGAAATACCACAAGTGGGTGGCTTTAACGAACAAATTTATTTTCTCACAGTTAGAAGGCTCAAAGTCTGAATTTAGAGCACTGGCTCCAGGGGAAGGCTTTCTCTCTCTTTTGGCTCTGGGGGAAGGTCCTTTTCTCTTTTCAGCTTCTGTTCCTCGGTTCTTTGTCCTTGCTTGCTTTTGTGCCTAATTTGTTCTTTTTATGTCTCAAAAGTGATTGACTTAAGACATCCTACACCAAAATGTCCACATTAACACAACAAAGAAAACTCTATTCCCAAAGGGGATCAAATCTACATGTGTAGGGGGTTATGATTCCAACACATGTTTTGGGGGGACACAATTGAACCCATAACAGTCATAAAAATCCAAATTCTTGCCAGAAATCACTCACGTATTAAATGTTGGCAACTAATTCAGATGTTTATAAAATAATGTGCGGACTAATGAAACATATCTGTGGGCCAGACAGGGCCTGGGGGCTACCATGGTACAGTTTCTGATCTATGCCTACTGCCTCCGTTTACAACAGAGACTCAGAGAGGCAAACTGACCTGGCTGGTGGCAGAGTTAGGCCAGCGCTGGGGCTTCTGATTCCTGGTTCAGAGTCCCCCCTCCTGTGCTACAGTGCCTCAGGATCAGAGTGAGGATGAGTCATGGTGTTTTTATTTTTTAATTACTGGCATAAAAAATTACCACAAATTTAACAGTTTATAACAACGCAGATTTATTATCTCACAAGGCCAAAATCAAAGTGTTGGCAAGGCTACATTTCTTTCTGGGAGCTAGAGGAGAATCCATTTCCAGAGATGTTCAGGCTTTTGGCAAAATTGAATTTCATTTGGTTGTAGGACTGAGGTCTGAGTTTCCTTCCTGGCTGGCTGCCAGGGGGTGAATCTCAGCTTCTAGAGGCTGATTGCGTTCCTTGGCTCATGACTTCCCCTTCCTCCATCTTCAAAGCCAACAATCGCAAGTCAAGTCCTTCTCAAGTTTTAGATCTCTCCTCTGTCTCCTTTCAAGCATCTCTTTCACTCTTCTGCCTTCCTCTTCCATTTTTAAGAGCCCATGTGATTAACATTGGGCACATCTGGATAATCCAGGATAATCTCCTGATCTTCACCTCTATAACCTTAATTCCATCTGCAAAGCCCTTTTTGTCATGTAATGTAATATATTCACACGTTCCAAGGATTAGGGCATGGATATCTTCGGGGGGCCATTATTCAGCCTACCACACATGGTCTGGAGTATTTTTCCAGGGTCAGTGTTATTTCATTCCATGCAGAATAAACACGTTGCTGTGAATTGTGTGCTGTTTCTCGGAGGTGGAGATGGGATGGGGGAAATTACTTGAGCGAATCATTGTGACTTGCAATTTCAGACTTTGCCAAATGATTTGGCCTCCTGGGGAAGGTTGCAGACTGCTTCAGGCCAGGGGTCATCTTCAAGGACAGAGGAAGCTCTGGGGGACTGGACACTTCCCTGGGCTCCCCGCAAGTCTCTTTCCCCCACCCTGGATGGCAGGTGCGCTTCCTAGAGCAGCAGAACAAGCTGCTGGAGACCAAGTGGCAGTTCTACCAGAACCAGCGCTGTTGTGAGAGCAACCTGGAGCCTCTGTTCAATGGCTACATCGAGACACTGAGGAGGGAGGCTGAGTGCGTGGAGGCCAACAGCAGGAGGCTGACCTCTGAGCTCAACCATGTGCAGGAGGTGCTGGAGGGCTACAAGAAGAAGTGAGCATGACAGGGCTGGGGCTGGTTATAGGAAGTGGGTGTAGGTTTCCGGTTGGGTCCACACAACTCTGCCAGAGGTCAAAGTCAAAGTCATCCCAGACTACATATAAGGTTGTTTTGTGTTATTGGTCTGCTCCAATTTGTCTTGGCTGCCACCTTGTGTAGCTTCATTTAGGGGACAGGGAAAAGATTTGATGAGAATTAAAGCTCCAGGTCTGGGAAGGATGGGACACACATCCAAGGCACAGGCTGACACAGAGATGGAGAGAGAGGAACAAATGAAACAGGAGGATCTAGGTCAACAGGGCTCAAGAGCAGGACTTGGGAGCAGACAGTACTAGGGTGGGTTGAAAGGGAAAGGTCCTGGAAGAGACATCTTGAAAACGATCTGACTGGTGTCATTCAAGATGCTTGGACGATTCCTTTACTTACTCAGGCTTTTGTTTTCCAAGGCTCCACAATTCAGAATGTGAATGTTTTGTTTTAACCCGAATTATTTAGTTTGGCCATTACCCAGTATATACTCACTGGGTCACTGTCAACTTGACCCTCTTTACCTTGCAGTTATAGACAGAGTGATGGGTGATTCTGACATTAACCAGTCCTGGTGGTTGTAACCTTCCTTGGAATTCTGGTCTTGGAAGATCAAGTTTCACCATCCAGATGGACCAGCAGTGGGTCTTCACTTGGGGTGATACAAATGCAGATACAATTCCCAATTTGCAGGTGTCAAGTTCTGTCTCCTGCTCTGGGGGTGTGAGGGCCAATAATTACAGACTGAGAGTTTATAGCAGCCCAAATTACCCTGTAATTAAAAGGTTGTGAAAACCGTACTCTGGGAACTCTGGTCTTCCTGGTTGGCTGAGGCAAGGCTCCTCCAGAAATAAGGCCTCACAGGCAAGAGGAATGGGTCCAGGCTGGTGGAGCAGGGTTGTAGAAAATGCCCTGAGTAGTCTGGGCACCATGGCAAGATTCCAGACAGTGGGTTGTTTCCAGACTTGGATGTTAGGGTAAGGGGAACAGAATGTCATAGGGGGTGGCTTCATAGAGTGTTATGTTTTTATACAGTTTTAGAGATGAAAGGGAGCAGTGGCAGTTCAGTGTAAGAATTCTTGCCTTCCGTGTGGGAGACCTGGGTTTGACTCTCAGCCAATACATCTCATACACAGCCACATCCATCTGTCAGGAGTATCTTGTGTGTGCTATGATGCTGAACGGTTTCAGCGGAGCTTCCAGACTAAGACAGACTAGGAAGAAAAGCCTGGTGATCTACTTCTGAAAAATCAGCCACTGAAAACCCTGTGGATCACAATGGCCTGATCCCATTGTGCATGGGGTCACCATCAGTCAGGAGCTGACTAGATGGCAGCTAACAGCAACAACAGAGCTGAAAGGACCCTTGGAGCATCTAGTCTTTCATTCATTCTGCAAACATTTATTGAGTGCTTTTCTGCACACCAGGCAAATTAACCCAAGATACAGGGAGATTAAATGACTTGCCTTGGTTAGGTTTTACATCCACTTCTGTCAAAGCTGGGACCAGATACCAGGGACTTGGACTCCAGGAGTGGGTCTTATGATGGATTCTTTATGGCTGAGAAATAGAAGTCCAGAGTGGCCAAGCCTCTTCTCCCAAAGCACACAGAAAGTCAGGGGCAGGACCAGGGAGCTCTGAAAACCTAGGGCTCTGCTGGTCAGTCCAGGGACCTCAGCCCCAAGGATGTTTCCACCTGTGCTCTCTCTCCTCAGGTATGAAGAAGAGGTAGTGCTCAGGGCCACAGCTGAGAATGAGTTTGTGATGCTGAAGAAGGTGAGTGACTTCCTACAGAGGGAAGAATTAAATTTTGAACACTGGATGTACTGTCATGTTCATATCAGTTAGCTTGTTGGTCGGAAGGCTCTCAGGTCCCCTGACAAACGAAGGCCAATTGTTGTGGCTGTGGATGCCATCTTGGCCTTCGTGCAGAGACCCAAGCTGTGCTGATGGAGGCATCTTAAAAAGAAAATCTCATCATGCTGTTGTTTGGCTTTTTGTAAACTACTTGATTAGATGAAATGCTTGTGATTTTAAATCTATTTAATTCTCATGTGAATGTTGCCCCCTCCATTCATCCCAGATCATGGGTTGCTGGTTCTCAAACTTGCTAGTGATTTTGTGAGGTGTAGCCCTCCTTCAGTACAATTGCAGAGGACAAACAAACTAGAGAAAAACTATTATGGTTGCCCTTTGGTGTCAGGTTGGTGAGTGAAAGTGTATACTAATACTCTTTAGTAATAATGTGCTTACTTGTGAGTAATCACAGAATGGAGAGAACCAAACCAGCTGCTGTCAGGTTGACTCTAACTCATGGTGACTCCATGTGTATCAAAGTAGAACTGTGCTCCATAGAGTATTATTCAATGGCTGAGTTTTTGGAAGTAGATTGCCAAGTCTTTCTTCTAAGGCATCTCTGGTGAACTCAAATCTCCAACCTTTTGGTTAGCAGCGGAGTGCATTAACCATTTACACCATCCAGGGACTCTAAATGGAGAGAGGGCTGGTAAAAAATCTGCTAACAGAGGTGTGATCTTGATCTCAGGGAGGAGAGTCAGCTATCTGGGGAGTGAGTGTTGCCTGACCTGGGAGACTTGCTGGGAGGTGCACCCATGGCTCTGTTGGCCACCACGCGTTCATGCTGTATGGGTCACTTTGGCTTAGAGGCAGCAGCCTGACATTCTGGGCTGTGACATTGGGCTTCACTCTTCAGCAAGGTTCCTAGTTCTGGAGGGGTCAGGCTTTTCTCCTCTGCCTTTCTCCAGGTAGAAACTCCTGGTCCCACTCATGTTTATGTGTTTAGAGATAATGTCAGTGGGTGGGCAGATATTAAAGGACCTGTTCTTCTAGAGGGGCCTTGAAGGTGAAAATGAGAGGTCCAGATTAGACTTGAAAAGTGCAGGTTAGATAGACAGGGACAGGCCAGGGGCAGAGAGGCCAGGAGATAGCCTCAGGGCTCCCTTCAGGGGAGTGAAGAGGGCTCCTGGGCATGGTGAGGGAGGTTTATCCCACCCCCAGTCTTCTCCTTGACTGTCTCCTCCAGGATGTGGACTGTGCTTATCTGCGCAAGGCGGACCTGGAGGCCAATGTGGAGGCACTGAGGGAGGAGATTGGCTTCCTGCAGTCTCTCTATGAGGAGGTAAGTCTCTCTCCACCTAGAGGAGCGGATGAATGAGAAGGGTTTTCCTGAAGTGTGAGCTGTCCTGTGTCATTGGTTCTAGGGAAAGTTCCTTACTCTCCTAGGGAGTGAACACCCTTTCCTTCTGTGACCAGAAGAGGTTTTCTCTTGTCAGTTCTCCTTCCAAAATGGCATGAGTCTTGCCCTTCCTTTAAAATAACTTGGAAGACCATGATTAATTCCCTGTCTACACAGCATGACACGAGCAGTGATTTGACAATTATCTTACTAATTCGCGTAGTGCAGAATCCCAATTAGAAAACGCAGGAAAGTAAATCTGGCCATTATCTGTTGATGGAGGTTTACAGATAACTACAGCTGATCTGGAAATTCAGGCCCCAGGTAGAATGATCAGATACCTGCCTATGTTGATCCAGGTATTAATACAATTCCACTTTACTTGTTGCCTTGATTCCATGGTTCAAACTCCTTCCCAACCTTGTCTTAATTAAAGCTGGACTTTTTGAATTTTCCTGAACTGCTGATAGTTTTATACTTTATTTCCTAAGGTTTCAAATTTGGGGCTGTTTTTTGGATTGTTGGTGGAGAATAGGAGGGGATTTGGAGCTGAGGGCTCTGATTGTTGTCTCCTACAGGAAATCTGCCTCCTTCAGTCACAAATCTCGGACACCTCAGTAGTGGTAAAGATGGACAACAGCCGGGAGCTCAACATGGACTCGGTTGTGCCTGAGATTAAGGCTCAGTATGACGACTTCGCCAGTCGAAGCAGGGCTGAGTACCAAACCAAGGTGAACAGGAGGGCTGGGGGTATGTTTGAGCCCAGGCTGCCTTACAAGCAGAGACATCACAAAGAAACTGGACCTTCCTTGGGAAGTGCACCCATGCACTCCAGAGAGGCTGAAGCCAAAGTCCCGAATAAGAAGGGGAAGGTGGTGGAACTAATGAACAGTGGGCTGACTCATCTGGGTAGGGGAAATTGGACTATCCACAGGGATAACCCACTACACCCTCCAGCCGTGTTGCAATCATTGGCTGTTTCCCCATGTTTGTCTCCCAACTTGCAGTGTGAGGAGACGAAGGCCACAGTGACCCAGCAAGGCGTGAACCTCCGCAGAACCAAGGATGAGCTCAATGAGCTGAACCGTCTGATTCAGAGGCTGACAGCCGAGGTGGAGAATGTCAAGCAGCAGGTCAGGGGGATGCTGAGACCCCCACTGCTTCTGATCTGCTTTCCTCCTACCTCCAGGGGTTGCTACTATCTTTTATTTTATATTTATATTTTAGCCTCATGCTTCTGAAGGACCACAGTGCGCAAGCTATTTTAGGCAGAGCAATGGTCTGTCTCCCTTCTCTAAATCCCGCTGTCTTATTTTCTCCCTTTATCCCTTGACCATTTCTCCTTTAAGCTCATCTGAGACAACATGGTACAGGGCAGTGGTTGTCTCCTGATTTCTCTCTCTATTATTTCTCTCTCCATTCTCACAACTCTCTAGATGGATGAAGTGCATAGAACTGAATTATTCACTCTGTTCAAAGGGAATCTATCATCACCTGGGCACTTTTATTGTTTTAAAATATTTTTTTTCCTCCATCTTCAATTCCATCCCTGTCCCCATCCCCAGAACTCATTCTCATGTATTTAATATATGTCCATGAGCGCTCGGTGGTACAATGGTTAAGCACTTGGTTACTAATTGAAAGGTTGGTGGTTTGAATCCATCCAGAGGTGCTTTGGAAGAAAGTCCTGGTGATCTTTCTGAAAGATCACAGCCTTGGAAACCTCATGGAGTGCAGTTCTACTCTGAAACACATGGGGTTACCATGAGTTGGAATTGAGGACAACTGGTTTGATTTTTGGTTTCTTACAGTCCATCTTTATATGTATATTTACAAATATACGTATAATGTACTTTAAAATATGTTTATATAAGCTTTATGGTGTTTTAAATTTATGCAATGATTTATATCATAAATCTCATTCTGATTCTTACCTTTGCCATTTGGCATTATGGTTTTGAAATCCATGCATGTTGCTATAAATTATGTTTCATTATTTCTGACTGTTGTATGGTATTCTCTAATACACATAAACCATACTTTCTTATCCATTCCTCTACTGATGGATACTTAGTTTGCTTCCAAGTCTTTGCTACTATAATCAGATGTATCACAAACATTTTTATACAGGTTTCTATGTGCACCTATGTGAGCGATGTTTTGGCGGTATAAAGCAAGAAATGGCATTGCTGGGTGGTAAGATATGCATATATGTACTTGCATCAAGTCCCAGGAGTGCTACGCTGGAGTACACTCCCATTATCAGCACATGAAGGCCCCTATTTCCAGCACTTGCTATTATTAGACTTTCTAATTCTTGTGGATCTAATAGGGGTAAACTGGCATCTAATCATCATTTTAATTTTCATGTCTCTGATTACTAGTAAGAAATAGAGCTTCAATTCTCCTGGAATTCAGATTTCTGGGGTCCATGGAGGTGGGGTGACCTATCCAGACCATTGCCATGAGATGTTCTTTTGAAACTTGAGCCTTGAGGAAACTAGTTTCCTAAAGTCACCTTTAAGTCAAACAACAGCCTAGAGGATGACTTTTAGTAAAGACCATTTGGCCAGGGGCAGATTATCCAATGAGCAAGGTAAGCATGATGCTTATCTTGCTTGTCAGATTATCTGTAGTGAACAAATTCACACAAAATGTGGTGAAACCCATGTGAAATTGTTCACTACAGATCAGTAACCAAGCACAAGTAAGTCTGTGTTTACCTTGCTTATTCTGTCATCCGCCCCTGTTGGGGATTGTAAATTTAAAAAGAGGCTTTGATTCCGCAGGAGTGCTGTGGGGTTGGGAGAGAGACAGATGCCAGCCATACCTAGGAGCAGAATCTTTCGTGTGGTGAAGAAATGTGAAATTGTTCACTACAGATGATCTGGTAAGCAAAGTGAACTCCGTGCTTGCTTTGCCTGTTGGATAATCAATAGGCCCCTGTGTCTTGCCTTAAGCATTGTGCTCTTTTGAAGAATTATCCATGTGCAGTCAGTTTTGAGAAACAGAAAATGCAAGGGTCAGACTAGAGCTATGTTTTAGGGCAAATCAGTAATTATTTTAATTGTTCTTCAAGACAATGGTGTATAAATTCCTTCCAGACCACAAATTGTTTTATTAGTTCTATTCTGGCTGGTTTCCATGGCAATGTCAATAAGATGGGGTCTAAGAATCTTGGGAAGTTCTTTCTTCTCTGGAACATTTTTGCCTCTCTAGTTGAAATGTTACCCTGATTTGCAAACTTAATCAATTTCTATTATTAGTTAATATGATTTTTATTTTAACACTACTGATGTTGAATATCTCCTCATATACTTACTAATCATTTGTCTTTCCCCTTCTAAGAATTTGCTTATTCCTATAATTAGTTCATTAAAAAAAATGAGCATTCCGTTCTTTTTTCTTGGTGATTTGCAGTATTTCCTTGTCCATTCTAGATGGTATACCTTTGTCAGTTAATCTTCTCTTAGTCTGTCACGAGTCTGTCTGCTTTGTTCTGGTGTCCTTCATTAAACAGAAACTTCAGCTTGGACGTGGCCAAGCCTATCAGTTCTGCCCTTAATGGTTTAGACTTCTAAAGTTTTGAGATCATAGAGGTATCCTCTTACTTTTTTCTTCTATTATTTTTATAGTTTTACCTCTCACATTTTGGTCTTAGCCATCTGAAATTTGTGTTTATTTTATATATGTAGCGAGTAAGATTCAAATTTAATTTTTCTCCAGGTAGGGAGAAAATATGTTCTATAATCCATTCTTTCCCCACTGATTTGTGATACTATACCCGGCTCAATTTCTGTCCTCTTCCTTCTGGGTGGCTGTTCTGAACCCTCATGTAAGATGTGTCACAAGTAATTGTTACTATCCATAGCTGAAGTACTGAAATATGAAAATAGTTGACTTTTTAAAAGTGAAATTAGAAATGATTCAGTTTTCCTCATAATAACGGTGCTCTCACTCACATTCTGATAGACTTTCCTACGTGGGGCAAAAGGAAGAGTTGTGGGTGGTGAACTGGGAATTGTTGTACATGGGAAATTGTTTCAGCATTCTGATCTCCGTGGCCCAAAGAACGAAATCCTGTGCAATGGCCTCTGAAAACCTGGGCTTGGCACTCATTAATGGGGTAGCCTATGGCAAGCCACGGCCTCTCTAAGTCTCAATTTCTTCATCGGCATAATGAGAATAATAATACCTGTTCTGACAAGTTCACGGAGTAATTTTTGAAGGTCAGATAAGATAACATCTGTGAAAGTGCCTTGTAAACTAACAATGATACACAAATATAAGGTGACATCACTATCTTTTTTTATTTTTAATTTTTTTATTGTACTTTAGGTGAAGGTTTACAGAATATACAGTTTCTCATTAAACAGTCAGTACACATATTGTTTTATGAGATTGGTTAACAACCCTACGATGTATCAACCCTCTTCCTTCTTGACTTTGGAGGACCTTTTTCTTTCTGGTGAAACTATACATAGCCAAAGACACACCATTTCAAAAACTTCTACATGTACAATTCAGTGACATCGATTACATTCTTCCAGTTGTGCTGCTATTCTCAGTATCCTTTTCCAAATTATTCCATTACCATTCACTGATTATCTTCATTTCTGGTCCGGTACTAACACTTCCTTCCTCTAACGGCTCACCATGGATTTGAGTGTCATCATAAAGTGGTATTAAATGAAGGAGAAAAGCTCCAAATAAACTATTATTTTCCTGCCTGGTTAATTTCCTATTGATGTATTTCTTTAAAAAAAAAAAAAAGTAAGAAGTTCAAAAGTTGACTATTTTAAATGGAGGCAACCAGGGTCTCCATAGCCTGCACCCTTTTCAAGCTTCTTCCTTCTCTTTCCCCCAGCGCTGCAAGCTGGAGGCTGCGGTGGCTGAGGCAGAGCAGCGGGGTGAGGCGGCCCTCAGCGACGCCAAGTGCAAGCTGGCTGGGCTGGAGGAGGCCCTGCAGAAGGCCAAGCAGGACATGACGGGCCTGCTCAAGGAGTACCAGGAGGTGACGAACTCCAAGCTGGGCCTGGATGTGGAGATTGCCACTTACCGCAAACTGCTGGAGGGCGAGGAGAGCCGGTGAGGACGAGGTCTCCAGGATCACTTCACATCCCCTCTCAGGGCTGGAATAGTGCCTCCCTAGACTATAACCTGATATCCCCGGGTGGTGCAAATGGTTAAGCACTTAGCCGCTAACTGAAAGGTTGGCAGTTCGAATACATCCAGAGGTGCTTTGGAAGAAAGTCCTGGTGATCTACTTGTGAAAAATCGGCCATTGAAAACCGTATGGAGCACAGTTATACTCTGACATACGTGAGGTCACCATGAGTAGGAATCGACTCGACAGAACTGGTTTTGGACTATAATCCCCCTGGCTAAGAATGTTAAAAAACTGGAAAAGATTCTAGAGATCATAGAGTGCAACCATTTCCCCAGTTTACAGGTAGGGAAACTGAGGCCCAGAGAGGGCAAGGGGCTTATCCAAGATCACAGCTAGTTATTGGCTAAACCGACATTAAACCAGTCTCCTGGTTGGCACCTCTGTGCTCTTTTCCTTCCTACTGTTGCCTCAGGCTGTATCTAAAGCTCATTCCAAGGCAACTACTTTATCCTGTTGGCCGAAAGGGTATCTCTGTGATCACGCCTCAGTGGGTTCTGGAAGCTGGAATCATTCGAATAATCTGTTAAAGACCATTTGCTTTGGGACGCAAAGACAAAGAGTTCTATCAACCTAGATAGCTTGGTGTTCAGAACCAGAAATGAGCAGCACAGGCTTCTTGCCTCCCAGGGAAAGACGAGAGCAGACATAAGTAATTTCCTGAGGTGACTGGGTTAGCATCCCATCAGGCTCTGAGAACAGGGAGCAGGGAGATGGATTCTGACTGGAGGCTCTTAGGGGGCTTCTTAGAAGAGGAAGTGGAGGAACTGAGAGGGAGGGAAAAGGATGGAACACTTCAGGCTGCTGTGCTGACTGACAGTTTGAGCCAAGAATTTGGGGCAGGTGAGGTCAGCATGTAAGAAGCAATGTGGATATATATACATCTGGGATGGTGCAATGGGTCTCTAGCCAAGAAGTGGCCACATCATTATTGCACCCTGGGCAGGTCCCATCAGAGGGGAGCAGGCTAGACTGGGGAGTAGAGAGTATGGGTTAAGATCACGAGCTCTGACCCAGACCACTTGAGTTCAAATACCAGCTCTACCACTTACCAGCTATGTGACTTTTTATGTCTCAGTGTCCTCATCTATATAACAGAGTTACTGCTAATACCCACCTTTTAAGGTTGTTGTGAGGATTAAAAGAGTTAATGGAACATAGTAAGTACATGTTGGAGCCGATTATTGTTGTAGTGAGAATATATCCACAGAGAGGCTACAAACCCAATCAGCATTAGAAATCTGGCATGAAGTAACACTGAAGGTAGTAGGACCATGCTGCTGGATTTGTGCCATGCTTTGGGGCTTGGGGGCTTTGGGTCTCAGGGCTTCAAGGGAAGCCACCAGAGCTATCTCCCCCTTTGGACCCTTAAGTCCCCAGTCTACCTGCCAGCATTCCCTGAGGCACTAGGCATTTATACTGTGAAACGTATTTTCCCTATAACAATACTGATTAATATATTACTGACTCAGTCATAAAATGAATGGTCCACTGTCCCCAAACAGATGAGATTTTAACGGGTTGCTGTATTTTATATACTGTAGCCATTGATCTTTTAATAAGTTTTTTTCCTCTTGGCATTTAAAATGTTTAATTTGATTACACAGCAAGGCTCTCTGAAGAAAATAAGGAAACAAAAGAAGCTATAATCATTCAGCTTGAAGATGGCCTATGCCCACATTTCGGCTTAAAAGGCTCCATGATGGGCATTGGTTAGAATCTTCTAGAAGGGCACAGTTCTAAGGCTGTGTTAAAGTCAGATTCACCTGGCAGGAAAGTGAACCAAATGAATATATCCTCACGGAAAAGGTGGGGATTAAAGGAATATTCTGAGTTAGGCAGAATAAATCAGAGTAGGGTTTTCCTGGAGAAAAAGGGTTTAATCTAGAGATTAGAGAAGGGGGAGAGGTAGAGCAGAAAGTGCAGGAAGGTGTAAGGGAGAAGGAAGCATTTATGAAAAGCCCACTTTAGTTGTATACATGTTTCACCATCAATGAGATATTTACAGTGTTAACAGCAAATACTTACATGGGGCTTACTATGTGCCAATCTCTATTTTAGGCCCTTCACATGTAGAATTCAATTAAACCTTATGACAATCCTGTGCAGCAGGTATTATCATCCCCATTTTATGGGGAAACAGAGGCACAGCCATATTTGACCCCAGACTGTCTGGCACCATTTAAAATCACAGGATAAAAATGAATCAATGTGCATGATAGCCACGCTTTTTCCCACCCAGAGGTGTCCAGCTAGGCAGTAGCTACTTCCATCACTTGGTCTTTGGCTTTGCTGGAGTTCCCAGCCAAGCAACAAGGAGTATGATACCCTCATCTATACCTTTCAGTTCATCGAGGCTCCATGGCTTAGAAGCAAATGCGGCATAAAGTCACCTTTTGGATGCCATAGCCCAATCTACCCTGTCCTTTTGAGATGCCAGTGAACAGCGCCAACACTGATGCTGTCTGCAGTGGGTGGGCAGCACGTCCTCTGCCCCTTCTTCAGGTTGGGGGAGAGTAGGTCTTCGCCTCAGAAGCAGAGGAACTTGGCTCTAACTGCTCACTGTCTCCTCTCCCCTGCAGGTTGTGTGAAGGTGTGGGCTCCGTCAACATCTGCAAGTGGGAGATTGCTGTGGGCATGGCTCTCTTGGGTGTCAATAGTCTTAATATCAGGATGCACCTGGCAGGAGGCTGAGCCTCTGTCTATGGGGCACTGGGTGGGGGAGACTGGAGCTGCAGGGCTCTGAGCTCTGGACAAATAGACAGCCCCTAAATACTTTGGCCCTTCCATAGATCCACCTGGGACATACATGAAGCCTAAGGTAATGAGCATGGCAATTTCTGACCCCCTATTTGATTTTGCAAAAATAGCCTGAGGCTTCCAGTTCACACAGAATACTACTCAAATTGTACCATGTTTTAATAAAGAATACTAAATTTATATTCTAGTCATTTGGGGTCACTGCAGGCAACTCTTAAATCTTTATCCCAGTATGTGCCCAGACCCCAGGCTAAGTGTCTGCTTCTGATCCACCTATTCCCCTCATCTTTCCAACCACCATATTTCTAGCTTCTCTACTGTGATCCATCAGTTTTTGCCACAAAGATTGTATAAATGCATGTCAACATCAGTCTAGGCCAAGGAGAGTTTTGTGTCCAGTTTGCTAACCACATTCCCCAAGAAGCAGATGGGAATGGATTTAGCTTTGTCTGTAGATTTAAAAGATTCATGTTGCTGATCCTCTGAGTGTGAAGAGAATTAATCATTGCTTCTAAAAGATTCTGAGTCACACCATGTCTGGGATGGAGTGAATTCTGACCTGGTGTCTCTGTCCACAGGTGTGAGCCGTTCTCAGGGTGGCATGGTTTGCGGGGACCTCAGTTCCATGGTCTCGCATGGCCTGGGGGATGTGGCCATCAGCCGCGGAGTCGTCTGCTCCCCTTCTGAAGTAGGGGGCTGCTCCAGTGGAAGATCTGTGCGGTTTGCATAGAGGGGGGGTGGGCCTCTGCACAGGTTGGATCTGATAGAGGTGGGAGGGAGTGGGAGGAGGAAATCATTTCTCTCTAAGATCCAAATGTCAGTTCTTCTCACTGGAGTTTTTGCTCTTTGAATGTAAATCCTGAGTTTGGCATCATTGCCACCTCCATTGACTGTCCCTTTCCTGTGGTCTAGGAGAGGGATGTAAAGCAGTTTTGATATAAACAACTTAGTCATTTTCTCTCTAATTAACTTGAGGTCAGCAGACATTTATTAAGTCTGACTGTGTGCCCGGCCCTCTAGGCAGGGAGCCAGGTAGAGGGATGTGTGGTACTGGAGTGTCACTGCCCAGGCTGGTGCCTTGGATGAGAGGGGCTAAGATGCCAGCTTGGCAGGAAGGGGTCAGTAGGGGCTCCTGGGAGGCCCCTCATTGGTGTGAGAGATTGGCTATCCCGATTGCAGCCCCCTACTATTCATGTCAAGATTGAAACACTTACTGAGGTTCACCAGCTGAGTTTTTTATTACTGGTTGTTTGGGGTCTTGTTGTATTTGGGTGATTCCTGCCATGACTTCTTCTCTCTTTTGGTGTGTGTGATTAAATGCTGCTGGCAAAAGCCTTTCTCCCTGATAACCCAGTTCATGCCTACCTTGTTTGCTTTTTTCCAACCCACCCAAAGACCTGATTGTTTCTGGTGCTTCTCAAAGTGTGGTCCATGGACCACCATCTGCATCTGGATCACCATGGGTACTTGTTAAATATGCAGATCCTGGGACTCCATCCAGAACAATTGAACCAAAAGTCTAGGGATGAGCTCAGGAATCTGCATTTTAACAACCTCCCAGGTGATTTATTAAAGAACTAAAGTTTGACAACCACTGTTATATGTGGGCAGAGCACAGAGGTATAAAGGGGAGGAGAAGGGAACTGGCATTCATTAAGCACCTCCTGAGTGTCTGGTATATTATGTATGTTTTTCATTCATTCCTCACAGCACAGTGTCATTATCCTCATTTTACAGATAACGAAATTAAGGCTCAAAGAAGTTAATTAACATTACTAAGGTCATACAGCTAGTCCGGGATCCAAAGTCAGGTCTAACCAGTGACCAGTTATCATCGAGATGACTCCAACTCATGGCGACCCCGTCTGTGTCAGAGTAGCACTGAGCTCCATAGGGTTTTCAATGGCTGATTTTTTAGAAGTAGATCACCAGACCTTTCTTCTGAGGCACCTCTGAGTGGACTTGAACCTCTAAACTTTTGGTTAGTGGCTGAGCGTATTAACCGTTTGAACCACCCAGGGACTTCAAGTCAGGTCTGTTGCTGTTGTTAGGGGCCATCAAGCAGATTTTTGACTTATAGAGAGCCCATGTGGCAGAGTAGAACTGCTCCATAGGGTTTTCTAGGCTGTAATCTTTATAGGACCAGATTGCCAGATCTTTCGCCTTCGGAGCCGCTGAGTGGGTTAAAAGCACCAACCTTTTGGTTAACAGAAGAGTGCTTAACTCTTGTACCACCAGGGCTCCTAACCAAAAACATAACCAAACCCATTGCCACTGAGTTGATTCTGACTCATAGCGACCCTGTAGGACAGAATAGAACTACCCCACAGGGTTTCCAAGAAGGGCCTTGTGGATTAGAACTGCCAACCTTTCGGTTAGCAGCTGAGCTCTTAACCACTACGCCACAGGGTTTCCACCAGGGATCCTAGGGAATGCAAAATTCACATGCTTTTCCACTGCATTCCCCTAGCTGTTCCCTCAGGCTGAACATTCTGGTTCGTCAGTCCCGTTAGTTGCTCCTGGACAAGGAGTTCTACGTTAAGAATTGTCTGCACTTCGGAGATAAAAGGTGGAAAGCGACACCTCCCTTTAGCCTCTGCTTTCCAAGGATTCTCGCAGAGGGACCACCATCTCCTGCAGATCTTATCAGGGGCAGTTAATGCAGGCCTCTTATGTGGGAACCCAGGATTAAAAACCATACCTCTGGTGGGAGGGTGTTGGCCGTGATGACCTGAAGAGAGGCAGTTGCTTGGTAAACTCTGCCTCTGGCTTGTTCCTGACTTGACAGTCCCCAAGAAGTCCTCACCTAGGGAAGACCTACCTAGAGAAGCCTGCTCAGAGTCCCCTCTGAGGCAAGATTTCTTTCAAGATCTGACTGGGTAGAGGATATTTTGCATTGAGAATGCATATTTGAACTCAAGATATAGAAAAACCTTCGAGCAGTCCTCTCTGGCAATGCAGTCCTTCCGATGCCTTCAGACTGCGTCCCCAGGGGCCACACCTTGTCAGGCAATGCCTTGACCCAAGAGGACCGAGGTCTTTCTTAGCAGTGTGGCACTCCCTTGTCCTCTGCCTTCGGCTGAGAGGGCCCATGGGGGGCTGCGTCCTGGGCACATCACGGCCTGGATCCCACCAAGTGTGAGCAGGGGTAAAATCAGGTTGAAAGGGCCACTAGAGCTGGTCTGAAGAGGGAAAGGAGTCCCACAGGTGCTCGCTGGCCTGCGGCAGGGGATGTGAGCTGGGGGAGAGGCTGTGGTTCCTTTTTGATAGTGGTGGTGGGGTAGGGGTGTGTATCTATACATTTGTCCCTCAGGTGTGTTTCCTTCCTTTGTAATGCATACAGAAACCAGTTGCATTTAAGTGGATTCTGACTCATGGTGACCCCACATGCATCAGTAGAACTGTGCTCCACAGAGTTTTCAGTGGTTGATTTTTTAGAAGTAGATTGCTAAGTCTTTCTTCCCAGGCACTTCTGAGTGGACTTGAACATCCAACTTTTCGGTTAGCAGCCTAGCGAGTTAACCATTTGTACAACCCGGGGATTCCTTTTAATGCATAGGCTCAGTCTATGAGTGCTGCTCCCACCCTTCCAGTCCCTGGCCTCTCACCATCACTGTGCAGTAGCACCAAGGGAATAATGGTGGGTGCACTGGGAGACCCCACTGTTTCTGAACAAGGTGGAAATGGGCAGGGATTTTCAGGGGCACAAAGGCGTCTCAGGGTGGGCGGGCAGGTGGTGGGGACTAAGCCTGCTCCTTAACGCTGGGTCTTTCTGACAGGTCTGCCCACCCAAAGAGAATGCGCTTGGTGCCCATGTCCCAGTTGCTTTAGTAGTCAGTGAACGAAAACTAAGTGCAGTCACTGCTCTGTGTTCATGTTCCCAGAGGGTGGGGGTGATGTGGATAATCCAGACAAGGGGAAATTCCATTTCCGTAGGAATATACTTTGTAATTTTCTTGATAATGTGGTTAATTTAGTTTTCTCATTGTGCTTGGCTCAGCGGAGTAATAACACAAATTAGTATTTCCCGGAGCCCTGGTGGTGTAGCGGTTAAGAGCTTGGCTGCTAACCATAAAAGGTCAGTAGTTCGAATCCACCAGCTGCTCCTTGGAAACCCTATGGGACAGTTCTTCTATGTCCTATAGGGTGTCTATAGCTGGAATTGACTCAATGGCAACAGGTTTAGTTTTTTTTGGTTTCTGGTCCCAAAGACTGAAGCAGGGAATGGTCAGACACTAGGGCTGGGAGGAGCACCATCCTGGGGGTAGGTGTTTGTGAGGATGGTAGGAAGCAGAGGGAATTTGGGACTTGGTGGAGGAGTGTAATGGCCTCAGAGAGGAAGGAGAAGACGACAGAGCCTAAGATTACCTACTTTGTGTATATGTGTGTTTAAAGGACTATGATCCATATTTTATAATCCCTTGGAAAATTTGTGTGTGTGTTTTTTTGGAGAGGTGATTTGAATATGTAAATAAGAGTCAAATAGAGACAGCAGCTCTAATTTTCTCTGATGAAGGTCTTAGCTTGGCTTGTGATATTTGCAACATTTTCAAAGGAAAAGGGAGCCTAGGAAAGAGACCTGGAATCATTCACCGGGACTTACTTTACTGTTTGGGCCGGTTGCTCTTCTGACTTTTCCTTTACTCTAAATTTCAGATCACTTGATTTCTCCTTCATATTTTTTCTTTAATAAAACATCAACCCTTGATTATCCTTGGATTATACCCTTTGGTTTATGTGGGGAATAGCTTTTTTAGTGGGAGAGGGCTGAGGGACCTCCTAAATCCTTGAACCAGAAGACCTTGCTCTAGATTTTCTCCGTTGGTCACAAGGAGGGCTGAGGGAGAGGGCTGGATCAGCTGACTGCCTTTGTACACCAAGCATAGGAACTTATTAAAACATTTATTAATATCTCCTGTAACCTGGCTCTTTGATTTTTCAATGCACCGTGTCATATTTTTGGGGTAGCAGATTTGACATTTTAGTTATGCTTGGCCTACGTCCACAGGAACATCAAGTTGTTTTCCCCAAGAACAGACTCATACCAGCACCCTAGAACCACAGAAGGTGGCAGGCTGGAAAGGGTCTTGGAGATGATCTGGCTTAGCCCCACTCACTTAGCAGATCCTCAGGCAGATGCCCAAAACAAGGAAGCCACTTCTTGCCCAAGGTCTCACAGAGACTTGGCAGAGTTGGGGTTCAAATTTTGATCTCCTGACTTTTGGCTCTTGAGATTTAACATTTCCTGTGGATGGATGGTGCTCCCTACATTGAAAGTTGGTCTACTGTGATTATGGTCATGCCCTCAAGCCCCAGAAAGGTGGCAGAAAGGAGGGGTCAGGCAAGAGACTTGGAAGAGGGCTTCCTGATGAAAAACCTCAAACAGAGCAGCAGCCTGAGTGCTCAGAAGAGGCCAGCAGCCCCCAGAGGTATTACAACCCTTTGAGCCTGAAGTGAGAAGTCATGAGAATGCACAGAGCCTCAACCTCTCCTCCCAGGAAGAGGCTGGGTGTGGGGTAGAACAAAGGGCCTGGCAATAGTGGCAGCCAATTTGTTCTCCCAGTGGAGAAGTGGAGGTGAGTCTGAGAGACCTGGATGTCTATACCTCCTGCTTTACCAGCTGCCTGTGTCATCTAACACATCCCAGGGCCTACCTGACCAGCACCCAATCCTGGGTCTTAGTGAGGGTCAGAGCCAGGAGAACTTCTTACACTCAGCGATCTTCCAGCCTGATCCAGGCTCCAGACACACCCACTGACATCCCTGGCCCAGAGCCATAAGGATAGAAAAGGAGATCCTCAGGATTCCAGACACTGTAGGGTGGGGAGGAGGGAGATAGGTACGGAGGGCAGAGTTGAGCACTGAGCAAAGGCAATGGAGGAGGGGCATGGGATGGCCCATGTGTCCACATGGAATGGGAGGCCTGAGGTCCTGGGTGCCCTCAGAGGGTGGATTTGTACCCAATGAGGTGGAGTCTACGTCTCTGGGTGGAGGGGTTGGACAGGATTGAGGAGCAGGTGGGGAAAGAGCAGATGGAGGGAGCCTTCATTTGGCATAAGAAGCACAAACATATGCCAAGTAGTGATTTGAACCAGGGCTGGAGAGGGTGAGAGCAATGAGTTTGGGGTAGGGTTCTGGCTGGTGGGAGTGTGAAGGGGTGGGATGGGGGAGAAAGAGCTCTGATGGGGAGTTGGGGCTATGGTCAGGCATGCCTGAGGACTAAGCTGGAGTCAGGCTGTGGAAGTGCACAGGATGAGGTGGGGTCACTGAGGGCTAGGGAAAGATTGCATGGGGCCAGACTAGGATTGGTCGGCTGGAGATGGGCCAAAGGGAGCTAAGAGTCTGACAGGTTGCAGGGGTGGAGGTATTACATAATTCACAAGATCATATCCCTTGCATTGCAGCAGCATTTATTGAAACACAGATTAAGACAACCTGGAAGACAAGGCACCCACAGACAGCCATAACCAAGAGGGAGACCCAGGAAGTGACCTGACCTTCTCCACTCCACCAGCTTTGCCTTGACCAGACCCCGCCTGCACCCAGCAGGAGGAGATCTGGTGCAGACTGGTGTCCATGGTTTTCTTTGAAATGTATAAAGGTGCACTGAATAGCAAGACCTGTCTGCAGTGCCCTAACCAGGGGGCTGTGGGCAAAAGTATTCCGCACCATAATGGGCCTCTCGATTGGGAGGTCACATCGGGAGTTTAGCTGGAACAGGTTTATCCAGAAGAAGGAAGTCAGTCAGAGAGACAAGCAAAACATACACAAAATAAGCAGGCAACTGCTTCCTGCAGAGACAACCGTTTCTAGCCAGGAGAGGGCAGCTGGTGGGAGGAAGTTTGTCTGTTTGAGTCTCGGGTTGTGGGAGACCTGGACGGATGGTTAGGCTCATTCCTTGTCCCAGGGAAGGCCAAGCTCCCATAGGTCCAGCCACTCTGGGTGACTGGCTGGGTCCCAGAGGACTAGGTGAATAATACAAGTTGGCCACAGATATTTTGGAGTTAAGCTGGAGTTAAGTGAAAGGCTGGGACTGACTCTCTAAACTGAAGCTGAGAGGAGAATAAGGAAACAAATCCCTAAAATGAGAAGGTGGAGGAGAGCACCTGAGGTCCTTCCGTCTATTGGAACATCTGGGAGGTTCTGGAAGCAAGCACACATTTTCCATTCATACACCATTCAGTGCCAGGGCCGGCGTACACAGGGCAGGCACTTGGCAGGAGGCCCCGACTACGCAAAGCGGACCGACCGGCTGCTCCCGCAGCTGAAGCTGGAGGTGAAGGGCTGGCAGGGGGCACAGGAGTCAGGTGCCATCACTGTGATGCTGCCCCCCGTGGCCAAGGGGCCAGAGGCAATCTGGCGCCCAGGAGTGGTGCTACATGTGAGGCTGCTGCAGGTGACTCCGCCACGGGAGCTGCTGACGCCTGTGGGAGGAGAGGAGACATGAGGAGTGGGTGGCCTGCTGGGATCTCGCCCATCCCGAGACAGACCCTAAAGTGCATCCGTGTTGCAGGAGCTGCCTCCTTCTAGAAGGGATTTACCACCAATTGCTGTGGAGTCGATGCCAACTCTTGGCAACCCCATGTGTGTCAGAGTAGAACTACTCTCCACAGGGTTTTCAATGGCTAGCTTTTTCGAAGTAGGTTCCTAGGGCTTTCTTCTGAGGTGCTTCTGGGTGGACCTGAACATCCAACCTTTGGGTTAGTAGCCAAGTGCATTAACTATCTGCACCATCGAGGGATTCCAAAAGGGGTTTAGTGGTCGATAATTCGGGCCCTGTTCCTCTTGACACCGCAGTCCATTTACAGGCTTGGGGGAAGAAGGATGCAAGGACACCTGGACCCAGAGGAGCAAAGCTGCCTTGCTCCATGTCTGTGGCCTGTAGCCAGTTACCCCAGTAAAGGATGCCCCACTCTGCTTTCTGTAACTCCCTTGGTGCTCCCCAATGGGGAACCAGGGAAAGAACAGAAGGTCCCTCCTCCCAGATGGACAACATTCAAGGGTTAATGGGTTAGGCTGCCAGGTTCAGTTTTGCCCACCAACAAAAAGCAGATACTTACAGACATTCACGGAGCCTACACCTTCGCACAGCCTATGGGAAAGAAACGTACATTAGCTCTGGATGCAAGTAGGATTCTTGAGCTGGATGGCTGCTTGAGGGCAGAGAGGGACAGCCTGTGTGCAGATTCAACCCTCCGGAGAGGCAGGCAGGGCTTCCCCAAAGCCTGAATTAAATACTCCCATTCTTTCTTTAACTGTTCTTTAACCATGGTGACAAGCACTTCTGGTTTTCTGCAGAGGCCAGCAAGATTATGAACTCTGCCCCCTGTCCCCTATCTAGGTGACCCCAGGCCACCCTGACAGTGCAGGTCAAGTTCACATAAAAGAGAGTTGAATCAAATGCAGCAGTGTGTGTGAAAGGACTCTGTGGATGATGAAGAGCTAAATACAAATAGGGGTGTATTGTTACTATAGCACACAAGCCTGCGTGGCAGGCAGGCCAAGCTGCAGCCTTGGGTAGGAAGTGATTCTTCAGCGTAGCAAAGCAGCTGAGAGAACGGACTTTGGAGTCACATGACTTGGGTGCAGGTCCCAGCTCTTCCACCTATTAGCTGTGTGGCCAGGAGAAAGTCACTGAATCTCTCTGAGACTTATTTCTTTATATTTGGATGGGAAGATTGTGAGGATTAAAATGAGCACTTAGCGCAGGATTGGCAGGCACATAGTAAGTATTTGATAAATTATCATTACTATTGCTATTATTATTGAAGCTTCACCTGTACTGGCAGTGGCCAGAGATATAGCTCACCACTGGGCCCAAGGAAATTCGCTCCTGGAAGAGCAAAGCCTCTACCTTCTACACCCTGCAAAGTCCTCCTCAACCTCACCTCTGCTCCTCGCCCTCCAGCAGGCGCCTGTAGGTGGCGATCTCGATGTCCAGGCCCAGCTTGGAGTTCAGCACCTCCTGGTACTCCTTGAGCAGGCAGGCCATGTCCTGCTTGGCCTTCTGCAGGGCCTCCTCCAGCCCGGCCAGCTTGCACTTGGCGTCATTGAGGGCTGCCTCACCCTGCTGCTCTGCCTCAGCTACCGCAGCCTCCAGCTTGGCACGCTATTGGGGTGGAGATGTGAGGACAAGGATGATCGAGAAAGCACAGGTTGGCTCACCCAAGCTAATGGAGCGAGGGCAGGGAGCAGAGGGTCTCAGGGAGAAGGTCATGTCTATGACAAGGGAGTTAAAGGGCTGTGAATATGAGAGAGGAGATGGGTGGCTTTTCACCATTTCTTCTTAATGGGGGTCCCGGGGGGCCAAGGAATGGGCTAGGCCCCTCCTTTGGAAGTCAGTGGTATATGGTTCATCGCACTGGAGTGCTGTGTGATGTGACAGAGCTCCTGCCTCTCTGTGGGTCCCTGCTTCCTCACCGGCATACCAAGAAGCCTGACCAGGCCAGGCCTTTGCCCTCCTGAGGGAGAAGGGCTGGTGCTGCAACCTGCCTGTGCCGGGTATTCAAGCCTACCTGGCACTTGGCATTCTCGATCTCGGCCGTCAGCCTCTGGATCAAGCGGTTCAGCTCGTTGATCTCCTCCTTGGTGCGGCGCAGGGACTCCCCGTGCTGGATCACCGTGGCCTTCATCTCCTCACACTGTGGGAAGGGGGGATGCTCATGAGACACAGGACAGGTCATCCCACACAGCCCCACAGCTAACCCTAAACATAAACTTAAATCTAGCCCTTGTCCTAGCTCTAACCTTAACCCAACCTAGCCCTAGCCCTAACCCTAGCCCTAAACCTAACCCTATCCCTAATGCTGATACTAACTCTAACCTTAACCCTAACCCCAATCCAGCTCTAACCTTAGCACAACCTGTCACTTCATTCTCAGCCACCTGCCTTCCTTTGGCCACCCCCAGCTACATAGACAAAGATGGAAGCCTTTTCTGCATCCCTCCTGCAGGGTTCTGGAAAGGGGCGCTGGGCTCGCTCACCTTGGTGCGGTACCAGGACTCAGCCTCGGCTCGGCTGCGGCTGGCAATGTCATCGTACTGAGCCTTGATTTCAGCTACAATGTAGTCCATGTTCAGGTCTCGGCTGTTGTCCATCTTGACGATGACTGAGGTGTCTGAGATGTGGGAGTGGAGAACGCGGATCTCCTGGGGAACAACAGCCAATGCATTTAGTTCTGGTCCCGGGGGGCGGGGGGTGCCTACTCCCTGCAGGTGCCCACTCCTTGGTCACCAATGTTCCATGACTCCTGCTCCACTTGCCGCCCCAGCACCACCCCCTTCATTCACACAGAGGCACAGCATGAAACAATAAAGCTCAACAGGGCCCTAGAAGTCATGGGGAAAATGGAGAAACCGAGGCCCAGAGAGTGAAAAAAACTTGACCCAAAGTCACCCAGCAGGGGAGCTGGGGTTTGAATGCCAGGACAAGTGATCAGTCCACTAATGAAGACCACTTTAACTGGGAAGCCATCCCCTGATTTTCTACTCCCACATACACACTCTCACGTCCATCTATAGGCTGCACTCACACGAACTCATGCACACAGATCAGCACGCACACGTCAACACCCAGAGGTGCTCACAGACAGAGAGGCCACTAGCACACACATACTCTATAATGCTCAGACACGTGTGCCAGGCTCTCACGTGAACACAGACATGGCCTGCAAACACATGCATGTGTCTCTGAGATCCACGTAACACATCTGTACCATGAACCCCTCTTGCATGCATGTGTATGCTCTTTTCACACTTAAATCATATGTGGACCGGCACACACACATGCCCCCTCTCCCCACTCTCCCAGGCTCCATGCCTCCCCTCCACCTGCCCTGGCTGGCTGGCAGGGCCCCTCACCTCCTCATAGAGCCGCCTCAGGAAGCTAGTCTCCTCCACCAGGGCCTCCACATTGGCCTCCAGGTCTGATTTCCGCAGGTAGGCACAGTCCACATCCTGATGGTGGACAGAAAGGGAGTGTGTGTGAAAGAAGACCCAAAGGAAGGTGGTGCCCCGTGGTTGAGGGTGACCATGCCCCACACTGGAGGCTGCACAGTGGGTACCCCCTCCCTGCCCACGGGCAGCCCCCTCACCTTCTTCAAAACCACAAACTCGTTCTCTGCTGTGGCTTTCAGAGCCACCTCTTCTTCATACCTACGATGGGGGAAGAGTGGAGTCGGAGCTGAGGGGTCTTGGGCTTGAATGCCACCCCAGCTTCTGGGCAAGCTTTTCCAGGGATAAAAAGGGGCTGACCTCCTTCAAATGTTATCTGGTTCTCTCAGTGACCTATTTAGTGCATTTTCATGGGCTAGCCTTTGTTACAGCCTGGCTTTATTTCACCCCAGTCCTTCTGCCTCTAGGGTGACAGCAGGGAATATACACTCCATCCTCCAAGTCTAAAATCATCCTCTGCACCCTAGATCCACAGACAGCTCATACCATTGGCAGGAAGAACACCCAGCCCATGTCAGAGAGGTAATCTGGGAAGGGTAGGGAACATAGATAGCTGTAGAACTCCATTGGGTTTCCTTCCTTCACTCTCCCCAAAGCTAGATCTAAGACCTATGGGGCTTCTAAGTGGTAGAGTGGAGCCAAAGAATATGAAGAAACCTAGACTCCTATTGGACACTCCCTCTGAGTCCCAGGTAGACTCTGTCAGGAATCTTAAAGAAGCTACTTCAAGCGGGCCAGAGGTAGAAACTTCCCAGCCTTCCCTCTGTGGTCCCCTTGGTCCCTGCCTGCACTTACTTCTTCTTATAGCCCTCCAGCACCTCCTGCACGTGGTTGAGCTCAGAGGCCAGTCTCCCGCTGTCAGCCTCCACACACTCGGCCTCCCGCCTCAGCGTCTCGATGTAGCCATTGAACAGAGGCTCCAGGTTGCTCTCACAGCACTTGCGGTTCTGGTAGAACTGCCATTTTGTCTCTAGCAGCTTGTTCTGCTGCTCCAGGAAGCGCACCTGCCATCCAGGGTAGGGGAAAGAGACTCAGTGGGGAGCCCAGGGAAGTGTCCAGTCCCCCAGAACTCTCTCTGCTCTTAGATGCTCCTTGGACAGCCAGGACACAGCCAAGGGCTGAGCCATGGGGTTGAGTGTCTGGGGCTCAAGAAGCTGCAGTCCCAGCCCCCAGGGAGGTGGTTATGGGTGAGAAGGAAAGTGCCAAGGCTTGGTGCCAAATGTCTGATTCAAGTTCCAGTTCTGCCACTCTGAGTGGTCAAGTTAATTAATCTCTTGGTGCTTAGTCTTCTTATTTCTAAAACGGAGATGATAATATACCTACCTTAGAGTTGTAAAGATTCGACAAGTTAATACATGTGATGTGTTTAAAACAGTCGCTGACACATAGTAAGGACTCAATAAATTTAACTATTATTATAGTTATTAGTCATTTTTCTTTTACTCATTTATGCAACGCTTGCTGAATATTTGAATATTTACTATGTGGTGCCAGGCCTGTGCATTTGTATTTATATTTATTTATATTATTTCATTCAATTATCACAGCCCTATGAGGGGGTAGATATTATTTCCCCCCATATTACAGATGGGAAAACTGAGACCTCAAGGTGTGTAATGACTAGCTCATGGCTACACGACTAGTAAGTTATGGTGTCAGGATTCTGTGTCTCCTGAGCTTCTACCCACTGCCTCCACCTTCCACAGTATGTCTATGAGCAGCTCATCTAAACTCTCTCAGGCTCAGTTTCTTTATTTGAAGAATGTAGATAATACCTACCCCACTGGGTCATTTTGAGGATTAACCAAAATCACTAAAGAGAAAGCGTTAACAGGACTGTCACCCCCAACTCCAGTCCCAGACCCCTGAGCCCAGTCCTATCTATTTAGCTATAGGGAGGCCCTGTGGACACAGAAGTCGACATGAAGGAGATGAGAGAGGAAGGTGCATCAGGTGGCTCCAACCCCCCTCCCGAGACTTTTTGGGAGGCAGCCTCACAGCAGTGCAGCGTTTTTCCCACTCTTGGCTGCATCTGTGGGCTTCCCCCTGCTAGCCTGCCTCCCCTTCCACATTCCCAGCCCTCCATCAGTGAAGGAGGCTGACCAATCTCAGCTGGTTAATTGCCCTGCCTTCTCGCCCCACTACTGTCCTTGGGAAATCATGCTAACAGCTAGCATTTTTTGAGTGCTTATTGTTTGCCAGCACGCTTTATGCATGAACTTATTAATCCTCACAACAAGCCTACGAGGCAGGTACTGTTAGAGAAGTTCAGTAACATGCCTGAGGCCCCAAACTGCTGAGTGGCAAGGCATGGACTCGGGGAGGTAGTGTGACTCTGAGCATGCCCCTCATCACCTCAAAAGCTGTCCCTTCTTCCCTGGACCTGGGCCCTCAGCCACAATGACTTTTGTTCTTCCCATTGTCTCCCACTGTCCCAGCACCCAGTGCCAGTCCAGTTTTCCAGGGACAGCTCTGATAGTCCTGTGTTGTTTTGTCTCCAGAAGCGCACACACACACTTTAGACCACTTTCTCAATTTCTGGACCATACCTAAAAAAATAAAGTAAATCCGTGGACATCAAGCTAATTCCATCTCATGGTGACCTCATAGTTCTTGGCTGTAATCTTAATGGAAACAGACGGCCAGGCCTTTCTTTTGCAGCACTGCTGGGTGGGTTTGAACCACCAACCTTTCGGTTAGTGGCCAAGTGCAAGCCATTGGTGTCACCTAGGGACCTTGGGAGAGACCTGGGGCGGTGCAAACAGTTAAGCGCTCAACTACTAGCCAAAAGGTTGATGGTTCAAACCCATCCCGAGGAGCTTTGGAAGACAGGCCTTCCTAAGGTAACAGCCTGTAAAACCCTATGGAGCAGTTCTACTCTGCACACATAGGATTGCCATGCGTTGAAATCGACTTGACGGCAACTAACCGCAACAAACAACAACGAAACAACAGGGACCCTGGACCATAACTAGACCTCGGTAAACTTTGCTGAATTAAATGAGAATTGATCCCTGTCTATACACTGGTCTGCATTTATATCCCTCTGCTCTGTCCATCCTGTCTCCCTACCAGATTGGAACCTTCCTGAGGGCAGGGCACCACTGGGCCCTTCTCTTCTGTTTGTGGCTGGATCCTCACAGGCCTCACTGACCTTGTCGATGAAGGCAGCGAACTTGCTGTTGAGGTTCTTGATCTGCTCCTTCTCCTCGTGCTTCACGCCCTGCGCATTAGGATCGATCTCCAGGTTGAGGGGCGTGAGCAGGCTCTCGTTGACCGACACAGTAGTGATGCAAGGGGCGCTGGGCCCGCACACGCCTCCAGAGCGGTAGCCAAAGCTGCGGCTGGAGGATCCAGCACGGAAGCCGCCGACCGCCATGAGGGCTCCACCAGAGCCCAGGTTACAGAGGCTGCGGCTGCTGAAGCCCGTCAGGCCTCGGTAGCAGGAGACGCCGCGATAGGGGGCGGCCGTGATGCAGCAGCGGTTGGCGGTTTTGGGGGCCATAGCCGAACAGGAGCTGAAGTTTCTGGTAACGCCAAATCCTGAAGTGATCCTGTAGGAGCGGCACGACATGATGTAGGTCTGAGCGGATCTGAGCGGCGGTGGAAGAAGACAGTGTGGGCTGTGGAGCAGGAGCCTAAGAATCCTCTGGCCTCTCTGATCCTCCCTGGTCCTTTTATTGGTGGGGAGAGCTGTGGTTGGCTGCATAAAAGCAGTGAAAAGCCATTTTATGTTGTTTATTGGCTTGGGGAGGTTACCAGCAACTCCCCAAGGACTCGTCTTAAAGGTGAGCTCAGTGGCGACTCTGGGGCTCCGTAAAGGTATTGAAGATGTTATTAGGGACACTGAGCGTTTGCACTTTTCATCTTCAAAGCTTGTTTATATACATTAAGTGATTAATTTTCTCGCAGTCTGCCTGTGAGATGGCCTCAACCCACACCTGGAGACGGATTTGAACTCCGAAACAGTCTGGGGGTGGCTGGGTTTGAAGTATAGGATGGGCCACTGTCTCAAGGGAGGAAGTTCTGGGGTCCCAGGTTGGGGGAGGACATGAGAGGTCATGGGATCTCTATCCCCAGGGCTCATTCTCAAGTGAATCATTGTGTTTCATGGTCTAATTGATCAGACGAGTCAAACCGACCCAGGCAGTAGTGCCGGAAGGTGGTTCAGGACCAGAGGGGCCATTTTGACCATGCTCCCCCCCCAGGACAGAGAACTGGAGCAGATGGTCTCTTGGAACCTTCTGGATTCCAGCCCAGAAGGCTCTGTTCCAGAGTCTTCATTTCACACTCAGCAAAACTTCAAACCACCCAACTCTCACAGTAAAGGGCACTTGTGGGTAATGGGGAGACTTCTCTTCCAGCCACTTTCTCCCACTTGGCTGAAAGGATTGGAGAAACCAGTTCGAGGATAATCTGGGTGCTGCCAACTTGCTCTGGGTGACTTCCCTTTGCTCCTTAAGAACAAACAGGCCCTGTGAGTCTGTCTTACTCCCAAGACCACCAACCAGAGGAAGTGTTCATTCTGTTTGCCAGCCCTGGAATTCTCACCCTTCGAGGAAAGTTTTGCATGGAGATGTGGGTGGGATGGTGGCTTTTCTCGTCAGAGGACTCTGTGATTTTTGGTTCCCGGAGGCTCTGGGAGCCCTGCTCTTTCTAACATCCCTGCTTCCCAGTGTGTCCTTGAGCCCCTTATTAGGATAATAATTGCTTTTATTTTAGTGTTTATTGAACATGACCCTTGGGGATGCGATCTCTGCCTCCAGAGAGATTAGCCAGACACTTGAGATGTTAGGAACATAAGGAGGAAAAGCCGATGAGCTTCCTTCAGAGGGTGACTCCTCGTCCAGGGAGCTTCTAGAACCAAACCTTGCCACTGTGCTGCCTTCCCCCTGAGTTCTCAGTAAGATGCCCTATTTCTGCCCTGGGTATGCCCTCATTCCCACAGCTGGGCCCATCTCAGGTCTTCACCTAGATGAAGCTGATGGATGTCTACCTCACATCCTACACCTGTTCTTCAGGGTATGGTAGAGATACCTTGGGCAGCTGGTTGGGGAGGAGCAGGTGGCCTTACCAGCTGGACCTAAAAGAGAATCAGATTCTGTTCACTCATGGGGAAGCAGCTGGGATTTAGCCATCTGGGCAACAGAATCAAGTTTGGAAGACCTGGTTCAAATGCCAGTTGGACCCTTCCTAGCTGTGTAGATACAGAGAAATTTTTAATCTAAATGAGCCTCCATTTCCTTGACTATAAAATGAGATTCATCCTTACCTTCCAGGGTGGTTGGGAGGATTAAGTGGGATAATACATGAGGAAGTGCTTCTGGGACTATAAACTCTGCATAAAGGAAAGACACTATTGAGTCCCATCAAAATATGCCCACCACCCCATGTGTCCCTCATCCAGTAGAGAGTGGGCCTGCTCCTGCCCTGCTCACAGACTTCACTTCCTTTGTACATTTATGACTCCTTTTAATGTTTTCTTTAACTTGATTTCACTTGTGTAAAAGTTTTGGGTGGAGTCTGGGGGTGGGGAGAGGAGAAGGCTATATTGGAGAGCACAGGAGATGATTCCCAGCCCCCACCTCAACAGGGACCCTGTTGCCTGGATCCAAGGATGAATTCTGGTGCTTTGGACAGTGAGCTAACTGACTGGCTGGCCATCTGTTGTATAGACCAGGAGCTGGTGTGGTGTGGACCAAGAGACATTGGGAGCCCTTTGATAGTGGGGAATAGGGTGGGGGCTGAGCATGGGAGGTGGAGAATGGGTGGGTCCTCTGCTCAGCCAGCCTCGAAAACCCATAAAGCCTCACCCTTTCCATAGCTTCTATAAGCCTCTGCTCTCCTCCAGTTTGGTGAAGAAGATGGAAACGGATCCATTTCTGCCTCTCTTTGGGGACAGCAGGGAGGGGAGGCTTTGTCCTGGAGGGAGGCCCTGTGTCAGCTGCTCATCCATACCCACAATACGCACACACATACATGCACACACACACCACCCAAACCTCCACCCCGAGTTTGGCCTGGGCACTGAGGATGGGGATGGGGAAGCCAGGAGGCTCAGGAGAGCTGGAGGTAGCCCCACTGTTTTCAGAAACAAGATATCACCCAGGACCAGCATGACTATCCAGAACAAAGGGTGTGAGCCCCCTTTGTGGGACACCAGGAGTGACGACAGGCCCAGCCCTGCACAGGGGTATGCTCCTGGGTGCTGGGTGAAGTTTGCATTGCTGTAGATGGCAGTGCTGAGCCCAGGGCCATGAGGGCTGCTCAGGACGGCTGTCCAGACAGAGCTTTGGATTGGAGATGCTGAGCTAAGGGCAAGGGGGAGAGGGAGGCTGAGTCCTCATAGGTCTGCTCCCAGAGCAAGCGAAAAACTCACAGACCAAGCCAGGCTGGGCCTTTGCTGTATGGTTATATGGAGAAGCAGAGAAGCTATAGCCCCATGCCTGCCTCTACCCATCACTCAGCCACCCTCCTTCCCTGTCTCCTCCTCATTTTCTGCCCACCTGTACCCCCCAGTTTTTGCAGAAGAAAGGCCTGGCTATCTGCTTCCGTGAAGATTGTAGCAAAGAAAACTCTATGGAACAGTTCTACTCTGTAACCCATACGGTCACCATGAGTCGGAATTGACTCCGTGGCATTTTTTTTGGGGGGGGGACCTATTAATTTCCCTCACACCCCTCTGCCTATCCTCAAGCCTTCTCCCCAGTCACACCTTTGCCTGGAGTGTTCCAGAATGGCCGCCTCTTCCAGGAAACCTTTGTGAAATAATCAGAGGGAGAGTATGATTTCTCCTACTCCCTGTCCCAGGAGGCAGCTCATAAAAAGCTCTCTCTGGGGATCTTCAGGTAACTCCAACTATCCCCTCCCACACCCTCTTGTCCTAGGTGCACTCATTCATCACCCCCTTTGGTCCTGTCCTCTTATGCCACTACACCTTTTGAAGGCCACACCCAGTGTTGGGAAGTCCGCTCAAGAACCTATGTCCCGCCCATAATTTAAAATGCTCCTGAGTGGCCACTTACAGGAAGTCTTCAAGGGCTAGTTGGGTGAGGAAGATTTTCTACACCACCTGGAGTCTCAGACAACTTCTCAGACTCCCTCTGAACCAGTATATCTCCTGGGGTTTCTCCAATGGCCTCATCACTCACACCTCAGACCCACCTCATGACGGTCCCATCCCCCTCCTCCATTTTCCCCTAAGCTGGGATGCTTGTCTGGAGCCGACTTGCTCTCCACCACACCAGATCTCACTATTGCCCTTCCCTTCCACTCTTTCCACTGTACTTAAAATCCCCCTGCTTCCAGAAAGACCTCCTGGATTTGTTAGGAGATAGGGGAGCTCTGATAACTTTCCTGGTCCTGCCTGTCTGTCCTTAGAGCTGCCTGTTGACCATCCCAGTTGTATATTTTTATGTGCCTGGGCTCTCATAGACCATCTCACTGTCCTTCCTGGCCGTCTCCCCATGGACAGACCTGTCCTGAGCAGGGCCTTGGCCTTGCTGGCACAGCTAATTCAAGTTGGATACCACCATCCAACTCTGCTGGTCTTCTACACTTTTATTATGTATCCAAATCTATGCTACCTCTTGGTGCTGAGACCTAGCTATGGGACAGGGTCTTCTAGTCCCATGACACTTTCTATGGCTTTGGCAAGACTTGGACATGATTCAGCGACCCTGTGTGAGAGGAGTGAGGGTTGGAGCAATAGGTAGGAGCTGGATGAATCCACCTTCTCCTTGCTAGCAGGCTGGGCCCTTCTTCCAGCTGGCAAAGCTGCTCCCTGGCCTGCCCCACCTTTCCTCTTAAGGGCTTCCCCACCAGAAACACCAAGAAACTCCATACTAGCCTCCCCAGCCTTGTCCACATGCCTTCCTGCAGGCAGCTTCCCTTGTGGCTTTGCTGTTTCCTGTGGCTACTCTGGGCCAGGCAAGACACTCAGTCAACACAGAGCCTGTAATTTCAGAATTGGACCGTATTAATGCATGTGAAAGCTGGATGATGAATAAAGAAGACTGAAGAAGAATTGACGCCTTTGAACTATGGTGTTGGCAAAGAATATTGAATATACCATGGACTGCCAAAAGAACGAACAAATCTGTCTTGGAAGAAGTACAATCAGAATGCTCCTTAGAACCAAGATGGCGAGATTATGTCTCACATACTTTGGACACGTTATCAGGAGGGACCAGTCTCTGGAGAAGGACATCATGCTTGGTAAAGTAGAGGGTCAGCGAAAAAGAGGAAGACCCTCAACGAGATGGATTGACACAGTGGCTGCAACAATGGGCTCAGACATAACAATGATTGTGAGGATAGCACAGGACCGGGCAGTGTTTTGTTCTGTTGTAAATAGGGTCACTGTAAGTTGGAACTGACTCGACTGCACCTAACAACAACGGTTTTGACCACCATCCATTTGTTAGTTTGTTGTACTGTGTGGCTTGTGAGTTGCTATGATGCTGGAAGCTATGCCACTAGTATTTCAAATACAAGCAGGCTCATGCCACCAGTATTTCAATACAATCAGGGTCACCCTTGGTGGTCAGGTTTCAGCAGAACTTCCAGACTAAGACAGACTAGGAAGAAAGACCTGGCTATCTACTTCTGCAAATTAGCCAATGAAAACCCTAAGAATCATAGAATATTGTCTGAGACTTGGACTTGCTTACTTTGGACGTGTCATCAG